GATTGCGGTGTGTCGGGACGTCCAACAGAGTTTGTTTACCCTGGGGATACTGATTTGACTTCTGATGCATGTGGCTTTTTTACTGTGGTGAGGATGAAATATTTGTGTGATAATGACGATGTCAGGGAAGGAAGGATGGCTTTTCAGGAGAACATAGAGGAAAACATGACTCGTATATTTAATCAGTTATGTGAAGAGGATTTGTGTAGAGTTTCGCTATATTACGAAACCATTGACCTTGTCAATGAAACTGTTTACGATCCAAAGGATTATTGTGTGCATGTAGGCATCAAGGGATTGTTACCTTTTCCTTGACAATTATTTGGAGTAGAACAGCTGATGCATCAGGCGAGATTGTTTATTAATAAATGGGAATTGAGAGGACCTAAAAATATCGAACGAAACATGAGGGAAAATTCGTATGTGGCATTATGGTCATCCACAATTGCATATGGAAGTGATGCGTTATGTGGTTCATGCCCTAGGCCATGAAAGGAAAGAGAAGATAAATGGCGAGTACTCAATGAATAGGCCCTTTGTAGTGCTGGAGAGCAAAAGTCACATGGAACACTGGGTGAATGTGAATGGCCAGCTGCAAAGAGCCTATTGTCCATTAGACCTTGTCCTTCACACCCTCTGCAAAGGGGAAGGGGGGTCATTTTTCTATCATTTTTCCAAGATCCTCATGGCACTGAACTAAGAAACCTACCTAGTGGTGTTAAATATATTTTGACCATTTCTGTCTTGACTTTTGCAGTGATATCTCGAATATATTGATTTGTAATAACGGACAAACTGAACAGGTTTAGAGTAAGACTTCTTGTTTCGATGCTCTTCAGAAACCAGAATTGCCAAGACATGGGTAGCTGCTGGTTGTCGCTTTTTCACCAACGCATTTCTCAGGTACTTTTGCAGATCTTCTTGGAGGTCCTTGAGGCTGAAAGCCACATGCTGAACATGAGCACTCCCTGGTTGGAGATGGGGAAGAAGGCTGTCAATGATGGTTGGAAATGCTTAGGCCTGTTAATGATCGACTATACTCACAAGTTTGGAATAAACTAACATAAGACGTCTTCACCAAGGAATTTGAAGAAGAGTACTACCTATTTTATATGTTATGGGGTTTAGAGTTCTCCCAAACTTCTAAATATTCATATATCTCAAATGAGCTGTTCTACTTTGTACTTAATGCACAATTTATCCCTACAGCCACGGAGCAATGTGTTATATTCAACCCTTCCCCAGCACAGTGCTTTGAGCAATGCCTGAGAAGCATTGGGACTGTTGAACTTTTTCTGCAGAGGTGCATCAGCCTCTGTCCAGCCATCAGGCAGGAACCCCTGTTCCTCGCGCAAAGCATCAACCATCTTTCGTATGTTGAGCTCCAACAATTATTTCGTGCCTGTATCTTCCTGGATGCATGTATCTGCTTTATGGGGGTCATACTCGTTTTGGAGTCCTTTTAGTTTCTTATCTTCAAGGTCAACACCTCCATCCCATTTTCCCTTGACGAACTCCTGCAGAGCCACTTTAATGTCACATGCATCCGCCTTTATCCAAAACCGACCATGTGGGTGAGCTTTTTTTTGTTCTTTGATTGCCTTGACCTAAAACAAACAAATATTGCTGAAATTATAATATTTATAATGCCTGTACATTTTTTTGCCTGAACAAGGGGAACCTTATATGAACTTTTATGGCGCCTGTTTAAGTGCCTGTTTCTCTGACCAATTTTCTTGTACATCATTGAGAGTAAAAGGGAGAAAGTTTCATCTCGTGAGGGGACAATTTACACTTTATTTCTCACATTTTCCAAATATAGCCGGGTGCCTGAACAAACTAAGCAACGCACTACTTGACTATTTTCCCAAAGCCATATTTGAGTACTGCAATATTTATGGAATGATGTGATATTCATGCCACTAGCATGGTGAAATTTCATTGTTGTAAATTATTTGGAACATTTTATTTCTAACCTGAACTGTAGGTTCACACGTAAAAGGTGCCTCAGCTGTTTTTTTCTGTACTGCACTAAGGGTTGGTGATGCAACATTTACACGTGCTTGTCAGGAATAAAGTGGGGGCAATAAATTGAATAACCGAATAAAAGAGATCGAATAAAATAGAATAATCAATCTTTACTTTTTTTGGTTTGATTATTTTTTATTTGGTTTACTTTATGTGCTGATCGTGAAAGGATCTTTCTCTTTATTCATACTGACGCCACTCCACATAGTCCCCCTAAACAGTCGGCTGAATCTGGAGGATTGGAGTTAATTCCACTTTTTAATGCAAGTTCCAGAAAGGAAAGATTATAGAGCTTAAGTAGCAGATGTTCGCGAGGTCACAAACGCCGACCGGAGGTCACTAGCGCCAGTGTGATTATACTGCGCCTTTGTTTACGTCCATGAGGTCAGGTAGCCGACGCCAGAGCACCACTTTTGAAGTTCAAGATAGAACTCGAGATTCTAGTAATGAAAAGTTCGCGTTTGGGTAAGAATTATTTGGTTATTTCCGATATTGTGGTTAAATTGTTGGCCTAAAGCCAAGGAAAATTCTTCTGCTAGTCACTCGGTGTTTTTAGAGATGTAACCATTAATAGGTAAACAGTCTAATTCTATTATTGGCGCGACAGGTTGACCCGGCTAGCTCTAGCTGGCTGCAGAACTGGAAGATGGCAAAATTTACGGGATTTACGTGAGATGTACTCGATTTCGTCTCAATGCGAATCATCATCAAGGGAACTCACATCTTATCTCAGAGGGGTTTATAGTCTTGTAACTTTTAGCGGCCGATAATTTCGACTGCATGAAATACATCTGTTAACGTAAATAAAATGCTTTATATGTTGTCTTTCGATGAGTATAAAATTAGTAGAGAAAGGTAACTGAAATATCCATACTATAGTAAATATCGAAATATGCGAAATTGTTACGAAAATGTACACATGTATGCCCACGATGGGACAAATAAAGTACTAAATCCATAACCTAAAGACTAAATCAACAAAGATATCTACGAAAGGAAACGAAAATGATTACTTACATATCTGACCCACACAGTAAAATTCCAAATCACGAAACGAAACTAAGCAAGACAAAAACTTATTCTTCTACTGTATTATTTGATGCTTCTTATTCGAAAACATGGAGTCGACTAA